AGATTTCCAGGGGTTATCTCCTAGAAATCATGACACTTTTTAATCTTGGTTTCTCCTACAGTCCTCTCAAAGCATCTCATTCTTTCTGCCTGGCCTCAGTTGCTAGCTGGATAGGGTCTTTTATCATCAAACAAGCTGGATTACTGAGATTAATTTGGCTCAAGGTCTCACAAACATAGAGGTGTGACTCAATGAAGCACTCTACAACTAAACAGAAACTAAACAGCCTTCCCTAAATTTTACTACAATTTCAACAGAAAAATGGAGACAACTTCTTCTGTTGGTAAAGTGCCTCTTCCACATCCTGCTGTATCGAGGCTGAGTTACACTAAATGCATTTACAGTACATATAATTAAAACATTGCACACTTTCACAGAGAAGAATTTCAAAGACAAGGAACATAAATCCAGGTTAAAATACCGACTATAAAGACAGGCCTGATTTTCCAGTCTGCTCATCCAGCACTTCTTCCCAACGACTTCAGTAGGAGCAACCCATTTAAAAGTCAGGGTAGTCTTCTAAAGCAAGCTTTCAGGCAGATTTAGGATCGTGGATTTACTTTTGAAAACCACCTGGTCTTGGCTGTATCTGAGCTCAGCTTTAGCTCCATCACTTGTTTTTGTTCAAATAACACAAGATACGGTAGCACTTATATTGGGTGCCAAATTTAGACATACAGGGGTAACGACATAACCTAAGCATGTGTCTAACATTTAGCGCAAGTGCTATTCATGTCTTCCAGCTGGTTTCCCTAAACCAGGAGGGGAGCCAGCGAGGGTAATTTAACCCATGGATGGGTGTTCTTCAGAAACAACCAGCAGGAGAATGAAGCAAAGCAACAGTCATGGCTCAGACTCTGCCAGGAGCCCAGTGACTCCTTCCAGCTCCAACCAGCACCAGTTGACCTTCAGTCAATGGTTCCAAACTTTGAGAAATTACATCACTGTAGGTGACCAATGGTCACAGTCACCAGTGGGTGTCAGAGACCCAGCTGCCATAAGGGCTGCACTTCTGGAAGTACTGCATGTCTCTCTTAAAGAGTTTTACAAATGCTGAGTTTTCCAGTAGCATGCCCACAATTACTAGATATCATCGGGACTTTATTTTTTGGATGGTAAGAGCAAGAAGAATAACAAGAGTCATACCAAGTAAAGACGTGATTTTTTTCAATTTCGTTTTGCATCTATCCACAAGACCTCACTCTAGTAAGAGAACAGATCTAAACTAGCATCAGACTTGTTAGCCATTAGTTCTGCACTCTTAGAGATGTCTGCAGAAACCCAATGACTATTACTTTGATGACAATTGAAAGAGAGTTTGCAGAGTTGTGGAACAAAATGATATAATTTAGTCATTTTCTGTGAGATAATAATGATGTTCTAATTGAAAAATCTACTCTGATATAATTATCCTACATTTTTATAAGCCTTCCTCAGGAGCGCAGTAAAAGAGCGAACAAGAATATTTTTACCGTACCATGTGAGAAAAGGCTCTCAAAGTTTTATCTGTGTCCCTTGATGCACATTCAAGAGATGGAAGCCTCATCATAGCAAAATGGTTTCCTGGTTTGGTCTGGTAACCTCCTGGGGCAGGATCCAAAGGAAGCTTTAGCCACATAAATCAGAGACAGACTTTGAGGTGGGACTTGCATGCATGGGGGTGCCCTGTGCCCTGTTATGCGTTGGGCTATCTCCCCCAGCTTCCACCTGCAGCTCCCAAAAGATATAGAATAAAATCAGAGAATCAGAGAATCATTAAGGTTGGAAAAGACCTCTGAGATCACCAAGTCCAGCTGTCAACCCAACACCACCATGCCTGCTAAACAGTGTCCTGAAGTGCCACGTCTACATGTTTTTTGAACACCTCCAGGGATGGGGACTCCTCCATCTCTCTGGGCAACCTGTTCCAATGTTTCGCCACTCTTTCAGTAAAGAAATTTTTCCTAGTATCCAATCAAAACATCCTCTGGCAGAACTTGAGGCCATTTCCTCTTTTCCTATCACTTGTTATTTGGGAGAAGAGACCAATCCCCACCTTGCTACAGCCTCTTTTCAGGCAGTTGTAGAGGGTGATAAGGTCTCCCCTCAGCCTCCTCTTCTCCGGACTAAACAACCCCAGTTCTCTCAGCCGCTCCTTGTAAGAGTTGTGCTCCAGCCCCTTCACCACCTGCTCTCCTCTGGACATGTTCCAGCAACACAACGTCTTTCCTGTAGTGATGGGCCCAAAACTGAACACAGTATTCAAGGTGCGGCCTCACCAGTGCAGGGTACGGGGGCATGATCACTTCCCTACTCCTGCTGGCCACACCATTCCTGATACAAGCCAGGATGCCATTGGCCTTCTTGGCCACCTGAGCACACTGCTGGCTCATATTCAGCTGGCTGTCAACCAGCACCCCCAGGTCCTTTTCCGCCAGGCAGCTTTCCAACCATTCTTCTCCAAGCCTGTAGCCTTGCATGGGGTTGTTGTGACCAAAGTTCAGGACCCGGCACTTGGCCTTGTTGAACCTCATACAGTTGGCCCTGCCAGCTCTTGAGCAAGCACATTAGCTCCGGCTCTTCGACTCTGCTGCAACACCGACACTGACTTGTAAGCTCCTGTGTCCTCCTATGGCCCTCTGGCTGGTTTTGGGAAGATACCCTACTGTACAATCTGAAAGCTGCCTCGTCCTCATGTTGCTAACAGTAATTTTAGGCAGAGTGAAAGCCCATATGGCTTCCTACCACCTGCAGCAGTGCACGTGCCGGGTCAAGCAGGGCTACGTCAGAGCCCACGCAGTGCAGTGGGACACTGGATATGTGCACAATTTACCCAGGCTGCAGAGGACCCCACCTAAAATACCAGTAATACATTCCAGGCTAATGAGCATGGTGGAATTAGCTAACTAGAAGCAGCACCACCTTCATTTCAAAGAAAAGGCAGTGCGTTTGAGGTTGTTAATGGCCTGGCTGCCATTGCTGGAGCTTACATGGATGGCTGGAACAGAACTGCTGTTGCCCTGATTGCTTCCAACTGCAATCCCAGGGAGCAGAAGCTCAGCACATTCTATTTACTGACATTTCTGCCATGAATGAAGAGGGACTGCTGACCTGGGAACCCCACAGAAAGTACAGGGAGAGTGGAGCCCATGTCAGGAGCCCCCTTGGTAGAGGAGAAACAACTGCTGCTTCAGCAGCTGCTCTGAAACTCGAGTAATAATGGGCTCCTGGCAATTAGGTTTTGGCTTGTTTACTCACCTAATTTTTCTGGCCTTCTAAGCACATGGTGTGGTACCAGTAATGTCCCCCTCAGATGAGACAGCCCAGCTGGGAGTGCACACCACTTGTTGGGATTCTTCTCACATTGAGCAGGGACAAACTGGTGGGCCCAGGAACTCCATGAGAGCGAACCTGTAGATGGCTGCCTTCCTCCTTTCGCCCCTCCAACCTCCCAGGGAAGCCCCAGCTGTGGGAGGAAGGTTCAGGAGTCAGGAAGCAGCATGAGGAGGAAACAGCAGACCAAAATTCTGTATTCACCCAAAGTCCCCCAGCAGGTTCCACCCCCCTGCCCCGAGCTTGCCACCCATGAGAGCTCACCCTAGTTGCTGTGAAGGAGCCATCCACCCTCTGGCCTGTTCAGTGACTGTGGAGGTAGGGAGAGGCAGGAGCTGGCCAGATGTCACTGTAATCATAGAATCATAGAATCATTTAGGTTGGAAAAGACCTTTAAGATCATCAAGTCCAACTGTTAACCTAACCCTGCCATCCCACCACTAAACCATGGCCCTAAGCACCTCATCTACCTGTCTTTTAAATACCTCCAAGGATGGTGACACTTCCCAGGGCAGCCCATTCCAATGCTTGACAACCCTTTCGGTGAAAAAATTTTTCCTAATGTCAAATCTAAAGACTGGAAGACTCCTTGGTCATATCCAAAACACTAGGGAAGAGGATAGGGTCCTGCCAGCACCTGGCTCAGCTTTTGGAGGAGGGAGGAAGCCTGGAATGAGGAAGGTCTATGCCTCCAGCACAGCAAAGGTGTGATGGTGGTCTCACACGCTGGTGGGCGCAGGGGCTTGAGGGGCAGCAGGTTTTCCAGGGTGCATGGGAGGTCTTGAAGCTTGGGCTGTCTGTCCATCGTGTCACCGTGCCCTGGAGCCATCACACAGGCATGGGGTGCTCCCCACCTTCTCGTTCCTCACGCATATTGCGTATTGCCATTAGCTGCATTGCATCTGCAAAGGCCCCTGGGGCCTTCCCTGACTAAAGCAAGGGGTAGGCAGGCTCATAGTATATTAATAATCAAGAAGTTTTTTATTTATATGGCAGCCTGCTCCCTGCTATGGAGCTGGAGGCACTGTGGAATAAGTCATAATAAATCTAATGAGACAGTATAAATAAGTAACCAGCTTTAATCCCAGCTGAAGAATTATTAGGTAGATTAGTGAACAGAAAATTAAATTGTTGTTTTCTCTTTGTTGTTCAAGTTCCATGGGATTCTTGAAGCTGTAAATTTTTGGGAGAGTCTGTGAAGGGGCAGAAGGCATAGCCAAGGGTCAGAGACATGGAAGTGCCTCGAGCACCAGAGGGAAAAGGGCAGAGGTGTCTGTCCTTCAGACTGGGACCCACTGATCGGGGCTCAGGGGAGCAGTGCAGTGCCAAAGGCTGGTCCTGGCACAGCCCCTTGCCCTGCTCCCAGCAGCCCCTGGAGGCACGGTGGGAAATGCCTTAGAGGAATCCCAGCCCTTGCCCTGCATGATACAGGTTGACTTTCAGGTGCCACTGCAGTTCACACTGGCTGAGTCCTGGGCAGGGATTTCTTTTTCTCCTCATGGTAAATGGCTTCACTTGTGGTACACTATCATTTCAAGCGGCTATGACATAGGTTTGGGTGACGTAATCACTGACACCGATCGCTCCCCTCTCTGTTGGGCCACAGGGTGAGAGGCAGGAGGGGCAGGCTGGGTCTCTGCCCAATCCATCAGTGACAAGCAACGAACCGGAGCTGCCATTGCCAGCTGATGTCCTGCTCTCCCTACAGCACCTCCCTCCAGCAGAAGCTCATTAAGAAGCTGCAGGCTAAGAAAGCTTTTCAGGAGGAGATTCAGAGTTTTCAGGAGACAATGAAGAGCTTTTGGGAGAAGATCAAGGGCTTTCTGGAAAAAATTAGAGATTTTGAGATGGCAATCCAAACCTTCTGGGAAGAGGAAAAGCCCATCCAGGAGGAGGAAGCAGCCTTTCCAGAGGAAGAAAAGGCTATTCAAGAGGAAGGAGAAGCCTTCTGGAGGGTGTATCATGACTTCTGGAAGGAGTATAATGCTTTCTCGAAGAAGGATAACGATTTCTAGAAAGATGATCGGCTCCTCTGGGAGAAAGACAGGGTACTTCTGGATGAGGACAGAGTCCTATGGGCAGAAGAAGAAGCTCTGTGGGCACATGAAAGAGCTCTCCTGGAAGAGGAGTGAGTTCCCTGGGAAGATGAGGAGTCCCTTCAGGAAGATGAAAAAAACCTCAAGGAGTATGAAATGTTCATCTGGGAAGAGGTTTTTGGTCCTGAAAGAGGCGATATCTCCAGGGATGCCACTGTCCACAGGGCAAAAGCATAATTTTTTCTGCTAGACTCAGAAACACGTGGAAAGCCATGTATAGTGATGTGGATACTTTATTTAAGCAGTGCTGCGCTTCAACCAGTTCGCTGAAATAACATCTCTAGTTCTTGGAGCAAATCAGAGTAGGGTTTTTTAATGCGATTTGCTTTAAAGCCATTGCACTTATGTTTTCAGGACATTACTTATTCTTTGGAGGTCCTGTAGCCTGAGGAATGGGGTAAACCTCTGGTTTCCTGGCCCATCACCAGGAGGCGTGTGGGTGGGTAAAGCCACAAGAAGGTGAGGACTTAAAGGCTGAGATCATCTTCTGGAGCTCAGAACAGCTCGCCTAACTCAGTGCAGTTTATATCAACTGAGTCAGTGCCAAAATAAGGCGCTGATAAATGATAACCTTCGGATCTCCCCTATTTAAGAGTCACAGTTAACACTCCTGAGTCTTAATGAGACAACTCATGCTGTTCCGCAACGTTAGGGCTTTGAATTCCCATTTAACTTCCCGCTGCTCTCGGGAGCGTGATGGGAACATTTACCCAGGGGGGTGAGCCCCCCGCATCCGCTGTCTGGCTGAGAGCAGCTTTGGCATCAGCCTTGCCGACGTGGGCAGAGGATGGGGAGAGAAGAGGGAGGGATTACAGAAGTCAGCAACAGGCGGGAAAAGATGCAAGCTGGAGGGAAAGCTGGCAGCAAGTCCCTGAGGAAAGGGGAAATAAATTTAACAGTGTGAGCGTATGTGTGTGTGTAAGAGCAGGAGACGGTGCACACGGGGGCTGGGGCTCACCTGCGGAGCTCCCGTTGCCAGTGCAGGTACACGAGCGTCGAGCAGAATCCTGGATAGCTGCAGCGCAACACGTAGTCAATATTTAACAATATTTTATGTGATGTGAGTACGGAGCCAGTGCCTTCTGCTGAGCTGTGGCGCAGGAATTGCAGTTTTTCTTTCCTCTACTCAGATGCGTCGCGTTTTCAAAGGCTGAGCTGTAAAGGCTGATCTAGAGGCAAATCTACATCTGACCCTCTGTCCATCCAGGAGCGTGGGGGACAGGAGCAACTGTGGAAAGCACTCATCTGAGTCAAACCAGGCACTGAATTTTTCTTTGGTATGGTAGCATCAGTAACTCATTCTCCTTCAATACTGGATTTTAACACTGAAAAAGCTCAAGGATGCAACGTAAGAAGCCTTCAGAATTGCTGTTGAAGAACCTGATGCCATCTGCAACTGTCAGGCATACTTAGGCTGTCACTCAAGCCTGTCATTCAAGTTCAAGCCTTTGTGATCTGCTGTAGGATAAGGCCGCCTGTCCCGTTTAATTTTGCTCAAGACAAATGATGCACTATGTCTTTCCTGAAAAAATCCATGAATATTTATTGCTCAATGAATAAACAGCCCATAAAAAAAGCCAGCTGATTCAGCCAGGGTAGGAATATTTTGCAACCTTTGTTATTATTATTCTATTATTACCATGAAAGCCAGAGATGAAAATGACCTATTAGACCACTCAGTGCAACTCCCTGCAAATTCAGGACTCTTACACATTAGAGCTTTATCATTAGATGCTATAGAGAGAAAGAACCTTTCAGGAAATAACAGGATGCAAAAAAGCACTTGTCACTTAATACCTTTTAATGTCAAAAAGCCAGGAATTTATCTCAGTTATTCAAATCCACACGTCAAATTAACATCCATTTAAACTAAAATTAGGTATGTTTTCTCTTGCAAAGAACTTGCAGCACATGAAATTGCTCTTAGGAGAGCTCCTAGGCACTTCTTCTTCCGCTGGAGAGCAGAACAGTGTTTCTCCAGCGAGAGTGCTGTCAGCATAACACAATAGTTGCGTCATTTAAGGCATTACACAGTGCAGCACCAAGGAGCCAGAAGTTTAGCCAGAGAAAAGCGTGTACCCATATGGTTTTAGACCCCTGAAAATTCTCCATCCACCTGGTAGCTTCAGAGTGACCCTTGCTTGGGTGACATTGCTGGAGAGGGACCACCGGGGCTGGGTATTTGAAGTGCGTCCTGCAGCTCTGGGCTGAGGATGGATTTCACTCGCGAAGCTGGTCTCTCCTAACTCTTTGGAGTGGTGAAGTAATGAGGGGAACAAATAAAATAACTACTCTAAGCAAAAGCTTGTTTGCCTTTATTGCCTCTGCAACACGCACATGGCAGCATTCAAGGCTTGAAATTCAGAGTGAAAAAAAACCCATAAATACACCTCTCTTGGAAGAGCAAGTCTGCTATCTGGCATAGGTTGGCTGTAGGGACCAAGAAAGAATGAGGCTTGTCTGAAGAAATGAAGGTGTTTGAAGCAAGGGCTCATCTAAAGTAGAGTGGAAGGACCTAAAGAAGCTGCCAAGCCCACCTGTGCCTCAGAAGCAGCCATACCCGTAATGCTCTCTGCAAACAATTCTCTAAGCTGTTTTTGCTTGTTTAATTCCCAGCACTAGCATTGCACAACCATCGCTTTCTCTCTAGGGCTTTACTTATATCCATTTTTTCCTGATGTCTGAGGTGAATCTTCCTAATTTCAGTTTTGACTTTTTAATCTGTAGTCCTGTACACAGTGGACGTGGGGACCAGCCTTTCCATTTGCCTTGTATTTCATAGAACCATAGAATGTTTGGGGTTGGAAGGGACCCCTAGAGGTCATCTAGTCCAACCTCCCTGCAGGAGCAGGGACACCACTAACTAGATCAGGTTGCTCAGAGCCCTGTCCATCCTGGCCTTGAATTTATCTGTCTGAAGCCCAGTATTGTCTTCTCTACCCAAGTCTCGCTAGACTAACCCACCCCATCTCTTTCTGGCCTCCTTCACTGACCAAGTACTTCAGGTATCTGGAAGGCTTCTGTCCTCCCTTCTGGCCCTCTCTCCAAAAGACTGAAAAATCAAGATAATTTTCAACATCCAGATACAATCCCTGAAGACGCTGAAAGTCCAGGTTGCAGTGCTTGCTTTGCAGAAGAGGTTCAGCCAGGAGTGATGCAGCTGAGTCCTTCGGACACCGAACATCAGTGCCGAGCTGCACTGGTGCTGGTGGGTCCTTCTGCAGAGCGATGCCACCACAGCGAGCCCTGACCTGCGCCCCCAGGGTGTCTCAGCCCCGTGTGAACGGACAGCAAAGCCGGGACCTACCCAGTGGCACAGAGTCAGGCAGAACAGGCGCCGATGTAACTTTAGACCATAACCAAACTTCCTCTGCTTGCTGTTCAAATAAAGAGGCACTAAATAAAAGCAGAACAATTAGTGTAAACACAGGGATAAAACCCAAATACAGGGAAACATGATGAGCCCAAATGAGCATTATATGTCGTTGGCAGTGCAATTAATTTAAAGTCAATGAGCTGTGTGCACTCAGGAACATTTTGAAGGCTCAGCAAGTCCTGCGCAGAGAGATCTGACGTGATGCAGAAATTTGATGGACTGGCTGGGCTGCATGCCTGGAGCTCACCTGCTTTCTGGTGCAGGTGATGCACTTCTTGCTCTCCTTCCCTGAACAAAAGTATGGAAAATATTAGAGAAAATATATGTTGGGGCAGAAGGATCCCACTTTATCCACACTGAAAGGCAGCCCTGGCCTCAGTCACAAGCCAGCGACGATGCTGATAAATCTGATATTCGTATTTCTAGGTGATACTCAAGAGCCTTTCCTTTCAAAGTTTCTGCTCAAGCGATTCACAGCAGGCTATTTTCTGTTCGAGGCCACAACAAATTGGCAATTACAGACTGCAGCTTTGTACCTCTAAAAACACAGAGCATCCCAAAGCCCAAAGTGTCTCCCAGAGACAACTCCTGCACAGAACCATAAAGAGATTGAGTCATTAGTGCCAAATCAACATAAGTAAGTATTTGAATGGGAGAAAGAAATAGCTCTCGAGCTCACCTGCACTTTATTAAAATGCAGCACTGCCATCGGAAAGCATTCCTGATGCAGCTGTGGAGCTAACTTGTGGGAGAGGTGGGGCACGGAAAATGGTAAAGCGTCATTTAAGTCAACTGACATGTCTACATGTGTCATAAACCGTAACGGTAAGACTGACAGGGGAAAATTAAATTTATTCAGTATATGTATGTGTATGCATATGTGCGTGTATATATAGCTATGAGTTCCAACTCTGCGTGTCAGTCATTGCATAGGAGGAATGCAAAAAAGCTGGGAGGCAGGCCTGTGACTCATGGGAAACTGGAGGTATGGAGAGCATCCAGCCACAAATATCAATCCTGCTGCTGTTCTGCCAGGACGTCTGGCTGAACTGTTGAAAAGCCAGTGCAGAGGGTGCCATGGAAGTTGAAGGAGGAGACAGAATACTGTGGCTGAAAATACCAGATGGAGAAAAAAACCCACCACACTTTCACCCTTCAGAATTTAACATCTAATGTGGGTTAAAGAAGAGAGGAACCACGAAGAAACTGTATTTTAAAAACAATTATATAATGTTGAAAATCTCTCTGTTTCTCCCTTTGTCTCTCTGTCTCTCTCTCTCCCCTCTTGTCTTCTTTTTTAATCTTCTTGTATTTATTGGTTGATCTAGGAGCATGTTCTGCAGAGAGGGATGGAATTCCAGATTCTTGATATTTGGGGATTTTGGGGAAGGTTTTGGTCCTGATCCAGGGAATCTCTCCATCTGTGCAGTCCCCCAGAGTACTTGAAAAGTTCCAAAGTCCCATCTAAATCCATATTTAGAATTAGAACTGGGATTCTGCTCTCTCTGGGTCGCAGGCAGTATGAGAAGCAGGCAAGGGGGGCACTCACAAGCAGTGACAGGTTTGAGCACAAGCATACCTTCTTTGATAAGGTGGGCTGTTATCCAAATAGAAGACAATTCAGATTTGTGCCTGGGATCTTCAGAAACCATGGTGGCAGTCCTGGAGACATAGCTTGTATCTTGGACCTTCAGGTTTGCAACATTTTCTACGTGATACGGGACCGCCGAGCAAGCAACCAGCTTCCCTTGGCTGCAAATTGTCCTTTTCTTATTTGTGATCTTTGTGTGTGCACTGTTGT